TTTTTTTTTTTTTGATAATAGGTCACAATAAAACTTAAATCCAAGACTTTTACAATCACATTAATGAATTGTGTGATCATCATACATGAAAGCTTAAAATGCTAGAAAGTATTTTTATCCGATTTTAAGAAATGGCAAATGGGGTTATTTGCTTTTTCAAGTCAATGGGGAAAAAGAAAAGATTCGTACCAACAAAAGGAGAGTTGAAAGACTAAAGTTCATAAATACAGTTATATATAAACTAGACTTACGTAAGTTTGTCTAGCTTTTTAAGGAGGTTAAGATTTTGTCTCAACTTGTCCCATGAACCTCAAAAATTGATTTATACCACCTTTAATGAATTGCAATAAAACATTTCTTTATATTCTAGTTTTCTTGAGTAAACTATTAGCATAAAATAAAACAGAAAATTCACAAAAATGACCAATATTAACTCACATCTATTCTATTTTGATGATTGAGAAGACAAAGATAAATAGAAAATTGATATTATTGTTTTTTAACCATATTAAACCTCAATATATGACCCATTATGAGCCATAAACAGGTAATATAATCAAGAAATATGGATAATGTTGTTAAATTGTTTTACAATTTTGTAAATACTATTTCTTCTCTGAACAACAGTTGCTCAAATTTACAATAAATTCAACGAGGAAAAAAAGTGTCATAAAAATAGTATTTATAAAAAGTTGCAATGAGCTTCTTATAAATTCAAAAGCATATATAATGAAATGATGCAATGCAGGTCTTACTTTCAACAAAGTTGTATATTCCTATGCATTAATTGAAAAAAGCTCTCCCCTGTGGATACGTTATTACTATAGCTAATTAATGGAACATAAAAATATAAGAAATATGATCATAACACACTTTAAATTGAATCAAAACCTTAGGCAGGGGAGCAATATTCCTTTTGAATTAATGGTTAAAGTGAGGAATGAACATGGTAAAAGTTGTTAGAAAAAGCAAATCTTTTCTTTACACATAAGCACTTTCCAAAATCCAAACTAGTGTAGTTCACTCAATATTCTCAATTGAAGTTAATGAAACGAGTGAAAATTATAAGGGATCGTCAAGAATAAAATTTCAACGTAAACAAAAACTTTAAGTAATTTTTTCTTATTTATTTAAATTTTGACTATCAGAATTATCTAGCATCTATACTGATAGAAAAAAGCAGAAATTCAATAAATAAACATAAATACACACAAACTGCTCCGGACAAAAAAAAAAGCTTGCAATTTGAATAGGGAGAAGCTAGGCACACTATCCAAGAGCATCAAAAAGCTAATAAAAAACAAATTTGTAAGAACACCAAGCTCACTTAGATTCTTTCACTCAAAATGTTGATACAGTCTTGGCATTCATTACAGTTTCAAGCCACCACTTTATGAGACACCACCAAAATCACAATACCTGCAACTCTAATTATTATGAAAAGCCCCAGGCAATGTGTGTATGTGAGAGAGAATTATGCTGAAGCAAAGACTATATATATATATATGTGTGTGCAGAGCAGTGTATATATTATATAGGTATGAAACAGTTGCAGGTATGGCACAGCAAAAAAGAACTCAGTCACTATTGTATAATTTCTAACACATGAGTAATAAAAGGGTAGCCCGATGCAATAAGTTCCCATTATGCGTGGGGTACGGGAAAGGCCGGTCCTATCGTACGCAGTCTTATCCTGTATTTCTGTATGCATGAGGCTGTTTCCACGGCTCGAACTCGTGGCCGAGTGATCACATGCCAGTAACATTACCAATTACGCTAAGGCCCTCCTTCTAACGATGACTAACACATATACATTTATTTGAGAAGTCTGAGAATTGGTTATTCAATTGGTTTACCTGATAAAGGGAGACAGATTGACATAGCGAGACTTCTGAAGTCTGACTCAATAACATAATAACAAATCAAAAGATATGCCGTTAAGTTTCCAATTTATTGACTGACTCTACCAAAAAAAAATTCAGACTATCACCAATCCCAAGAATATATTGAAGTAAGAAAAATAATAATTAGACTATGGGATTAACATTTCAAAATCTTAGTATATTATTATCAATATTGCAAATAAATAGAGTGATCTGCCAATTAGAATTTGTAAGAACAAGAAACCAACATGTATAAACAAAAAGAGGGGAACAAAATTAGAGTTTATGTTTTATGGACAAATAAGGTCAAAATAACATTATATACAATCATAACATTTTCACAATCAGATCACTTAAAAGCTATTGCAGATAATTATTTAGTGACATTTATTGGTAACCTTGAATAAATGGTAATGCAATATATAACAAATTAAATTATACTAGTACTATACAAATATTCATTATACTGTCAATAATATATAACTTACATCCAAAAAATTGAAACTAGTAGTAGGACGTGCGACATCTTAATGCATCATGAGAATAAACAATAAAAGATCATCATCATCATCTTAAAACAATTACAATAAGTTCAATACTAAAAACTTTTAATTAGTGTCTTACTGAATTTAAATAACAAAAAAAAGAAAAGGAGAAAACAAAAACTAATTCCTGATTGTCTTAGCTATTTTTTCCATATTGATCTCCCTATTAACCAAAATGAACAAACTCAAAGAAAAGAAGGCCTAAATAGATTAGTATAAAATATGATTTCTTTCACCATTGTTTCATCAAATTGAACTAAGGCAGTGTACTATACTGATTTAAATTGCTCCAAGCTTGAATACTATTCCAATTGTTGTTGTTGTTCTGATCATTTGCATTTCCACTGCTACTATTTGTTGAAGTTGGATTTACTGTCCCAAATGAGTTATCAAAGAACCATTCAGTAGCTAAATTATTATTCCCATGATCACTTCCACTACCATGATCTTTTCTTGAATTAATATTATTTCCAAAAACTGCAGCTTCTTCTTCTTGTTGTTTTGATGAAATATCCAAGTTTTGAAACAAAATAGGCTGTGGCTTTTGAATTTGGTTTTGATCAAGATGAGGAATATGAGATGAAACAATGTTCTCTTTTTGATTTTGATCCCCACCAAAAAGCATGGCCAATCTTTGTTGTTGTAATTTCCAGTGTAAATCTTGGTTTATTGAACTCAAGGATTCTATTGAAGATGCCATTGTGCCGTGATGAATGCCCATCGACCCCATTTCCTGAGCTCCTGCATTACCTGTCGAGACATAATATAATTAAGTAATTAAAAATGTAAATCGTTTAAGCTTGTATATTAGTCATACACTTCAACATATATCTCATTTGGTACTTATTTTCATCGCTTTTTTGGCCCATAAAAAAGTATGGTTACATATTTGAGGACGGATATAATATAATAAAAGTACTTTTTCGAATAACTTAAAATGTTAAATGAGATGGTTATACACTTCAACATTATCGAATCGTTCTGCACCACTATATTCTCACCTTGTTTTAGCATAGAACTTGAGAAAGGGAAATTATTGAATCCCAATAAAGAACCAGAACAACTTCCTGAAGGATCAAGACTAAAACAAGAACTTGATCCAATTGCAGCAGCAGAAGTAGTAGAAATGTCCCCAAACGAAGAAAACTGGTTGAAAATACTGCCAGATGTTGAAGTATTGCTACTTAATCTAGGAAAGTTTAGTCCTCCTAGCTGAAAATCCATAGCTGGTGAAAGACCATGAAAAAATTTAAGCCCACCAATATCTGAAGAAACGCTTGTATCTTTTGAATCACCAGAAAGCCTTGAAGAAGAAGAAGTCTTTATCTTCTTGTTTTTCCGGCAACCACCGCCTATCGGAACGTTGCGTAGCGCTCCCCCTTTAGTCCAGTACCTGTTGTCACATAATATAATTAAGTAAATAAAAAAGTGCTCTCTCGAATAGTTCAAACTGTTGAATAGTTCATGAATTCAAATCTCACCGACACACACAAAAAAAAAATATTAGATGAAATAGTCACATAATTCAAAAGTATGTACCTTCTGCAAGTCTTGCAGAAATGTCTTGGTTGTGAAAGACTGTAATTGTTGTAATAACAAAACTTGGTGTTGGGAGAATCACATCTTGGACAATTCAATGATGGTTCTTGTGGCCTTGCCGCCGACGTTTTCCGGCCACCGCCACCGGAGCTCTGGCTTTCCTCTTTGTTATCTGGACTCGTCATAGGAGGAGGATTACAGTAGGCTAAATAACTAGCTTCTAGCTAGCTGTTTTTTTTTTTTTTTGG